CTCCTCCAGCAGCCCGCTACAGACCCTTGCAACTTGCAGTACCTGTGACAATTCCACCTTGCCCTCAGATATCAAAACACAGCCCTAGCAGGTACAAATGTTGTTATTGATGTTTAGGGATCTATGCAACTTCTCTGGACAACCTGTAGGCAGCCAGGTCTGGAAGTTGCCTTTTTGCACAAAGCTGAACTCTGAAATTGTCTGCTGAAGAATTCTAAGCTTTGATTTCATCTGAAGATTTGCTTGAAATATTCTTACAGTGCTTGTTCATACCTTTTGTTTTCAGCAGTATAAAGGAGATGGAAATAAATTCTCTCCACCTTAAAGAGATATTCATATACAAGACAACACTGCTTTGTTGCCATATCCTTCATGTCTTTACTGGTTATTTTCCAGCTTTCCCATACTCCCCTCCTTAGGAAGGGCAGACCACTGGCCTATCATTCAGTGCAGAATTGCAAGAGCTAGCCCAGTCCCTCCAGCTCCTGGCAGCAGCTCTAAAACAGGCTAAGAGCCAAGAATGATTTTTCCAGGATCTCTTTGCTCTACAAGTCCCAGGCATCAGGTCTCAGCTGAAGTAAACTAGAGCAATTTTGTCAAATGCAGTAGTAGTATGCAGGGGTCTTGCTCACCTTTTCTTCACAACAGAAACAAAAAACAGACAACACAGCTAAGAGAAATCATTCTGCCTCTAACCTTAATCTCAAAACTCTTTTATCACAGAGCCTTTAGCAGATACATGCTCACCTGTGGGCTTCATTTCAGGTGTTCCTACCTAAACATGTGACCCCTAATGAAGCAGCAGCCATATGTCATATTACAGGCAGCTGATAGATGGACTTAATCATGCAGCTTTGAGCCATTCCATCTTCACCCATTAAACCACCTGCCCTGGGACTTGTTCTAACAGCCCAAACCAGGAACTGGTACAGCCAGAAGAAATGGTTACAACTTTGAAACTTGGATGATATTTTTAACCTGAAAAGAGCCAGGAATGTACATGTGTGAACTCCTGCCTCTTTCCCAACAAACACTAATAAAGAGCTTCCAGCTATTGGCATTAAAAATAATCAGCCTTTAAGGAAAATGTTTCTTTCCCCAAACAGGGAAGGATTCCCTCAAGCTCTCTCTCAAATTTATATGTGTTTGATGGTAGCGCTTAGTCTTATATTAGTAACACATTTATGGGCTGCTATCTTGAGGGCTGGAAACAAGATTTCACATCTTTTCAAAAGAGAAATCTCCCTTTCCACTGTGACATGTCCTATTAAGCTCTGGCCCTGGAAGGTTTCTTCATACTACACATCAGTTGTAATATTTTAAGGTACAGAAAACCAACTGAAAGTTGCCTCTGAAGGAGTATGTTAACTTTCCCTTCTAAGTGTGATGGTTGTACTTGTGGAATGAAGGCATCTGGATTCACAGAAAGAAGGGTGTGGAAAGACTCACAACACAGTGAAAATTCATGGGTGTGCAAGGGAAATGACAACATAGGACAGAGGCTGTCAGAAAGCCGATCAGACCTTGAAAACTAAAGAGCACAGGGCTACTTGTAGTGGTCCCTAGCTCTGTCACTAACCTGAGGTATATCCTTGGGCATGTCTCTTCACCTTTCTGTGATTCCATTCCCCATGTGTAAAGTAGAGATAACAATATGTAACTTCAGATTGTGCCTTGGATGACAAATTCAACACAACTCTTTAGGGTTAGCTTACTAGACACAGTAGGAGTGAATATAAAAAGGATCGTTCATTGTCTCGCTAGTCAGAAAGAACTCTCCTCCCATTAGACTGAACTTCTCAGGAATAAGTGAATGATAGTATATTGTTGCAATTACTCTTCTTATGCATGTACATTTTTATTTGCCTGAGAACAGGAGTATGTGCTGGGAACAATTATACACTATATATAGTGTATATATACAAATATACACTATATACACTATAAGTATAGCACTATACAACTTCCAGTGATTGAAGGGAGTTCAGTCTAAACAATCTAAACAATCCACTTCTTAAATCACAACAAATTTGGAATCTCTTTCTTGACTTTATCAGCTGAGTGCTTGGCTCAGGATATGTGGGTCATTACTTCCTCATTCTTCAACATAAAGGCAAACCGGCAGCCTGCTTGGGATTTCTTTGGACTATTTTAAAGATCTCCAGATAATCTTCTGAGAAACCATACTAGATCATATCAACATTTCTCTAAAACTCAGCTCATAGCTCCTGTCAGTACTTGGTTTTCTAACAGTAGGCATGAAAAGCTCAAAAATGTCAAATACCTGGAGTGTTTATTTACATACTGTAATGAGTAAAAAGCCCATATTCTAGATTCTTGCGTACCCTGAAAACCCGTTCCTTTTATCTACTTCTCTTGGACTGCAATTTCAGCCATTTTGGGACGGGATGGAAACCTTTTTCCTAAACATGGCCAAATTGCATCTTTAGCTCTTTCAGTGCCCTCACAGTTCTAGCTCCACTGAATTTATAACATTAGTCTAGATTTCCAGTGCTGTGACAGCAAGCAGAGCCTGTCTGCCAGCATACACACAGACTGATCTCTGAATGGAAAATGAGATAAGAAGTGAATGGTGCCTCAATTAATGGTAATGCAGAACACCCTTGGGTAATGCTCAGGGTATAGAAGATACTTAGAAAGGTGGGAGAATAATGAAAAATTTAGAATGAGGGCGCACTGGGGGACAGTTTTAGGTTGTTCCTTTTTTCCCTAGCTAAACATTTTTGTGGTTTGTCCTAAGTGCAAGACAGCTTGCACTTAATATCTCCTTCCCCTACCCTTGTGATAACTTTGGCAACAGAAAAAGATCATACATGTGAAATGACAAAGTTGAATATCTCAGTGATTGGAAATGAACTGTTTACATTAGCGAAGAGCTGCAATTTGGAGAAGGAAAGAAGCCATACCCTCGGGAACACAGGGATGATTTGTACCCTTTTAAAATCCTAGAAAACCAAGAAGGGCAGATGAGCCAAGAGCTATTTTGGGGGTGGGAAGAAGGGCGGAATGCCCTTCCTTACTCCAGGGATCAAAAAAGAAACCATTAGGCAAAACTAAAATCATGACTGAAGGACCAGAGGCTCTGGAAAGGGAAATACTGGTACCATTGTTCATCAGCACAGAGAGAAACGATACCTCGTTGGTCCCCCCCAGAGCCATAGTGGATAATTTCTCAGTGTCCCCTCTCCCCTCTCCTCTATTCCACCAGCCCAGTCCCTGTTTGCAATAAATACCTTGGACTGTCCTTAGCACGGGAGACGCACATGAGGAGCAATAAGGGATGGAAGGGAATAAATGGGTTCACTGCCATGCTGAAGAGAATGCACACTGTTCACTGTTGTTAGTGACATTCCTAGAGTGGTCTCTTCCTACACAACTGTTTCCATAATCAGCTTTCCATCTGAATGGTGCCCCTTTGACAACATATGCCAGTAAAATGAACAGCAGTAGCACTCTGCAGTATACTCTGATAATTCTGTGATGAGGGGAGAATGTACTCTCTGTGCACTTTGAATCTGTACCCCAAATACAGAAAGGATCTGACAGCCAGGCTGCATAAATGTGCAGCAGGCTCAATAAACATTATGTAGGTTCAGTTACCTGAGCTAGAAGATGTGACAACAGTGGGTTTCAGTTCCAAGACAGTGCAGTTCAGCAAAAAGATACTGAATTTTGTAACTTTGTTGGGGGATTCTCACTTCAAATTAGACTGAGACTATTTCATTGATAACTGCAGGTATACACTCATATGACTCAAAAGGTTATATAAAAGCCACAAAAATGGGCTAAGAAAGAGAGAATCTAACTATATTTTTTTTTATTTTAAGTACAAGGCAATTCACAAACTTTTAGTATTTCTGGCAGTTTACACCAACTCGAAAACAAAAGAATATTATCAAAACTCCTAGGTTTCAAATGGATACACCAGCTAAGCTGCCCCTTCATTGCATATGAAATTTCTGACAAAACATAGCCTAAAGACCTCAGATACTAAGGGAAAAAGAAAAAGAGTTCATGGGTCTTCATTCCTTTCTGCAACAGCCCAGTTTCCTTGAAAGTCTTCCTCCTAAACACTCTCAGATAAATCACAGATAATGACAGACATCAATGCAGCTCAATATTTCTACTTTGGTGGACAAAAGTCAACAGTTACTAACGAGAGTTCCTCACAGTTATAAATGCCATTAACTGGCTCTCAGAATCCTGCTGTTTCAAGAGGAGAGGTGACATTGAGCTTGCAGGGCAAAGAGGAGTGAGCATTTACCAAGTGAGTCAAAGAGAAAAACTTTAAATAAGAAGACCTCTAACGAAAGCACTGATTGAGAAGTGTGTCTGCTCTATGCTGCCTTTATTTAGATGTCAATGGGATTACAGTTAAGCTCATTTACGACTTGGGATTTTTTTCAAAAGGGTAGGTATACCAGATCATTATTTCTTGCACTGTTTGGTCTGCATTTAGACAGCCAGCAGATATAGAAAAATGAAAATGAACAAACTGAGATTATCTACTGCCAAAATATGTCAGTGTTCCCAGGTTCTGGGAAGGCAGACAGAAGCAAGATGGCAGGCCAAGAGAAGAAGGTTTCTGCTCCTGGGAGTGGGGACAGATGGAGCTTCTTGAGCACGCAGCTTCCTGAGGGACCAGGTTTGGCCACCAGGAATTTAAAAACTGCTGTTTGCATCTACCGTGATGATGGGAACAGTATATATCTGTATGTATTCTCGGTAAAAAAGCAGCACTGCACCTCTAGGGAAGTCCATTTCTTACTGATAGAAGCAACCCTGCAGAGCCCCAAACACAAGCACGGATCTTGCAATACAGGGACAAGAGTCCCTGTTTTGAAATGATGGCTTCCACTGACTTTCAGGTGTTACTGAGCTTTGTAGAGGCAACATCCTAAAATCATCAAACAATTTAACTTCCTGTTCAAGCGTTGCCATTACAGTGGTTTCACTTGGCTGTGTATCATGTGCTGCGGAGGGAGGAGGAGAGAAGTTTTGTGAGCAACTGAGGGTGCAGCCTGGCCCCACAGGGAAGGAGGGCTGGTGGTACGGGGCCCTGGGAGACGTGACAGTGCCTGGAGGGGGTGGGGACAAAGCATTAGGCCCACCGTTAGCACCATGCTCTTGGGGATCGTCGTGGTGCTCTGCTTCATCCCCACTGCTGATGTAACAGGTAACAACCCCCCCCACCCCACCCCATTTCAAGCCTATCTGCTGATTTTCCTCATTGTGATGATCAGGGGAGAAAAGGACTAGAATAGCTTTGAATTGACTTGCAGAAATCATTCTGTGTTTGGATGAAAGGGAACAGAGAGAGTGTGCTGCTAAGACTGCATATGGAGCAAATTGATATTACTAAGAAGCTGATTTTTTTCCTGCCACAAGTATCCTTGCAAGATAGGATCCAAAAGATTTCTTTTAATTTGATTTGTCTTTAGATGCATTTGGGAATTGCATGCATAGATAGAGGAGCGTTTATTTCACCTTTCCCCAGCTTTACAGATTTTGCTCACAAGTGCCTACTCTTTAGGGGCAGGGAGGTTGAGCAGACCTGATGCCAGTGCCTCTCTTGGGTCACCCTCTCCACCACCCCCAAGTCTTATGTGCAAAGCTCCAGGGCCCACTATGGCCCAGCTTGGTGTGATGGGCTGCAGAGCTGAGCCCACCCACATCTTCGCAGAACTAGAAAATAAAAGGACCAAAAGCGGAGTTGCTTACTGAGCTCAAAAAATGGGAGGATGGGGATTGCTTTGTTTAGAAATTTATTGTTATTCACGAGATACCTTGCTTCTTTCTGAGAAGATCTTTAACAACATAAAATATCTATTTGTGATTTTGAAATCCTGAGTCTTAGTGAATCTTCTGAATCTTCAGTTGTGGTGGCTGAGGGTATTTTGCCTTGCCATTGTCTTGACGATGCAGTGTTCGTATGTTCAGAGTTAACAAGGCTTTCCAAGGGGTACATCAAAATGCAAAACAAGGCAAGAGATGATGGCTTTTGCTAGGATAATCTTGAGACAGACAATTTTTTAAACCACTGGCCTACGAACTGTTATTATTGGGTGCTCTCCAAATATCGGTGTCTTGTATTTTACAGGGAAGTTACAGATAGGAACAAAAATCTGTTTTCCAGCATAAAACTTTTCACATATAGAGCATCTTTAAAGGTTTGCTTTTCCTGATATGAGAGATACAATTGAATCTGGTTTTTCCTTATTTCTCCCTTACTGTTCTATAATTCTTTTCCTCAGTGAAGACATTGTAATTTGCATGACACCATGATCTACATTTCTTTAAGAGTTCATAGGCTTTTTGTTTCTTCTTCTTTTCCCATGTTTATAATTCTGTGTTTGCAACATTCTAATTATTTCCACAATGGGCCCCTGGTTGTCAGAAAAGAAACTGATTCCAGGAAGGAACAAGTATCAGCAATGAGTTAAACAGTTCGACCTTTCTCACTTTTTGTTGGCTAAATAATTACCTTGCTAGAGCCTGTAAGAGAGGCAGGTATATGTAGTTGCCTGTCCCATGAATTTTGTGCAATTAGTAGTGTCAGTGGCTTCCCACTGCAGTGTATCACGAATTACCTCATTGTTTTTCTGACCGCATAACCTTCTGGCTTATGGTCTCTGGGTGTTAAAATCAACCTCTAACCCACTAGGGTTACCAGCATGCAGAAGATCTATGAGGTGAGGTGAGCCAAGACTAAGGTGACATCAACCAATTCTTGTTTAAAAAAAACAAAATCACAAACTGACAAGAACCCCCCTGTGTTCACACTGGGTTTTTCTTGTCAGTTTGCAACAAGTGTCAACTGGGCTTTGTGTAGTAGTATGTTTCCTGCAGTACTCACACCTGTGTAAGAAAGATCAGCAGAAAACAAGTCTATAACGGCTACAAGGGGAAGCTCCCTCCAGCTGCACATTATACACATAGCTGGGCGACCAAAAAGCAAAGCAACAGGGAAAGACCCACATGCCTGGGAAAGAGAAGTTAAAGTAATTGCTCAACAGACCACCAGCAGCAGAACTGGAATACCTTTTTTATAGCACAGCTGTGCAACTTTCTGTTTGTGGATTAAATAACCTCCTTTCAGGTTTTCACCTACCACCCCAGCAACTTATCTGGGCCATTTTTTTTACTTTACTTATAGAAATCCCAACTTCTCACAGATTCCTTGCTCTGGCAAAAAGCTCCTTGAAGTCAATTGGCATGGAAAAGAAAGAAAGGAGAGTACAAAATATTTTTAGCAGAATATTTTTTCCAATAGCTGATGATGATTCACGGAAAGTTCTGGAAAAAAAACCCTCAAAATAGTTATTTTCCATACTTTGTCGACTCTATTTCACTTTCTTGGCAAATAAAAAAGGAAGAAAAAAAGTCAATGAAGTTTTGGTTGTATCAGGGGTCCATGATTAAGGAGTTAGAATTTTATGGATATTATCCACGGATGGCACTTTTTTTTCATGATGCAAAACCTCCTCACGTGTCCGGCATGGCAAATGAGGTATAAAAATTCTTAGCAAACCTTTTGAGATCTCACATACCATTGCATACAAATCGTACGATCCTGGGAAACTTGTAGCCTCTGTACACTGACTTAAATGATTTTACAGTTTTAGACTTCACAGCTTTTTGAAACTGACAATGATTTTTCATAAGTGCCATCATCTTTACTGGGTAAGGCCAAGATACAGATATTTATTACTATGCAGCATGACTGAACACAGCTCTGGAAATGGCGATCATAGCCCTGTTTAGGGGAAAGCATACACCAATGGAAACACATACTAAATGTTTTAGAGTTTCACCATTCCATTTTAATAAACCCAAAGTGACACTTACAAGAAAAAGTACGTAGGCAAAAGCAGTCTCAGCCCATCTTTGCTCAGAATGGTCCAGATACAACTAAGAATATAATCAATTCCTATTCAGATCACAAGTGAAGTAAGGGATGTCTGGTCTTACTTTGTCTTATCCATGAAACTAATACACATTTTGGCATGATTTACTTTCTCCAATTCAAAAAACCCAAGCCTGGAGGAGGAAGCAGGCCGGTCTAACACTCCTGTGTGGGGTAAGCCTGCCTTGCCCCTGCTGGCATTGCAGCCCAACTGATTCCTGTGCTACTAATTAGTTCCTACAAATGAAAACCAAAAGATCTTCCTCAATTTAGACTTGAACTAGTAGAGCCACTTTGTGAAAACAGATTTGAGTGCTTAGCTTAAATCATGTAGGAGAAGTCTTCATTTAAAGTCTTCACAATCACACTTTTTCCCAGTGCTGAGCCATGCTGCATCCCAACATCAGCAGCATGGGGACAGGTTATCAACACACAGCCTGCACGTCAAGGCAAACAGACCAGACCAAAACCCCAAGAGGTGGAAATAAGTTGAAAGAACTTACTATTTTAGGTAGGTGTACCAAAAGAGACTGGTTGCAAATTAGCACAGTATTATGACAGGGACATAAATAGCCCAAAACTGTAGCCAAATCGTGAATCTCAAGGCATGAAGCTAGGTACTAAACATCAGGATTCCACATTAGCTGACAACAGCAAAAGGTGGCGGGAAGTTGTTGAGGTCTGCAGATGAGTCTAAAATAACTTTTGAAGGTGGTCCCTCAGGGATGAGATTTTAGTGCTCTTTGTCCTTCCTTTGGCCATAGTGAAAATCTGAACAGGCTCAGCAATAAACATCCATTAGTTTTCTATAAGTATTTGCAGCAAAAAACAGGCAAGCATTTTTCTGAAGTATAACGCTTCTGCAAGCCTCTGTTCCAGGATGCCTGTTCTGGTTGTAAACTCTGTCACAGGGATTGCATACACCTTTAGAAGAGACCTTTTCTGTCTCAGTCAGGGTTGTACTGGTGGGCACTATTGCAGTGCAAATCAGAATAAATGTCTCGAGCGAGATGTGTAGAATTCTGCTGTGCTAAAGGTAGAACAGTTCTATTGCAGACAAGTACATTGCCACTTAGGCCAAAGATCAATTTTCTGGCCAACAAAAATATGATGAAATACCTTGTCTAAAGGGGTGGAATCCAAACCTCCCCCTCTTTACACATGCCTTATAAGCCCATGTGAGAGCTTTTGTTGGAAAATGCTGAATCGATGAAACTGAAATGTTTTGTTGAAATGTCTTCGTTTCAGTGAAAATTCACCACAGGCAGCAGCTCAAGTAGAAACCTGCCTTGTCTGTTATTACTCAGTTACTGCTCAGTTCCGGGACTCCATGATCTGTGCTTTTTTCTGCTGGAAAGCCTGGAAATACTCATCCTTCATCAAAATAAGAAGTTTCATAGTGTTTGGGTTCCCTGCAAGCATGGGAGTTCAGAGCTGCAATGAGCCCTGCTCAGCCCCACATACTAACTATGTTGAACAAAGAAACACAAGGAAATTAGACCACAGTCTTTCTTTGATAAATCTGCGGCAGTAGAGCATTCCCTGTCTCATGGCTTCCTGATCTCATGAGCAGAAAAGGATGTTAAACAAGACTTTCAGTGAGAAAATGAGCAACTTCAGCAGTTTCATGGGTTGGGCTGATAACTAGAGAACCTGCTAGCAGTGGGTTGTTTTTACTGCCCACACCCTATCACTAGTCTTGGCCATCTCATGCAGCTCTGTGTTTACTTTACTCCCTGGATCACATTCATCCCAAAGGAGTATCCTGTGCAAAAGGCCAGGGTACTCCATCTTCTTCTGTGGGTATAAACACACTAAATGTAGCTTTCTGGTCCTAAATATTGTTAAACATGGTGAAATACTTGTTTTCTGGGCATTCTGGATCTGGCCTCTGTCCCATTCATTTCCCTTACTAGCCTTTTCTGAAGTCTCATCACCTGGATTAATTAGAAAGAATATAGTTTTTGCAGCAGATTTTCAGGACAAGAGATAGAATTGTAATTCTCACAACCACAGCAATTCTCAGGGATCTATAAAAGGCTACTAAGACCTCATGTGAGTCGAGCTTGCATGAAGAGTTGCATAATCATATACACACACAAAAGGGCTGTCTTTTGTTCTGGCAAGTTCCTAGCCTGAAAGCCAGAACTCCTGTCCTCTTACTTACAGGTCACCATTTGTGACCACCTTGTCACCAAAAGCTGGGCCTTCTTTGTACAGGACGATTTTTCTTGAAAGAAGTTGTCTTTCTGCATAGTCCTTGCAGTGTTTCATTGTTTGGCAGGTAGTAGCACAGAGGTCTCTATGTCAGAAAACATTTCCTGTTTATGTATTAGTCTGGTCAATTCAAATTGAATTATACCTTCATGCGATGCTTTTCTGCAGGCCATTCAAATGCTAAGTGCCAATGCAGCATCAAATTAGTCAGCTCCTGAGTCCTTTGAGAGATTAAGAATCTACTACAGCTGCTAGCTAGAGAAATGACTTATTTTACATTAAAATGACAGCAGTTCATGCTTTCAGTGCTCATTGTCCAAGGTCCAAACCTTTGAAATGGTTCAGCAAATCCACCTGCAAACTCTTCAAGTCTGTCATATGATTAAAAAGCAAATGTATAAATAATATTCTCTTATCTGACTGCTAAACTCAGCATTTAATTCACAGCATTTTCACTCCATAATGTCTCCTGGGAAAATGCCTGCTAAGGAAAGGGTAGACTAAGGTGGCCTTATAAGTATACACATGCACACACATTGCAGAGTAGCCTTCTGAGCCCTGATGCTAAGTATTTATCACATGGGCCACTTTCTGTACCAGTGTTCTGTTTCTGAAGAAAAACACTCTTGGCTTCACACTTTCCCCTAGTGACTATGTAGTTATTTATTTAAAGGGGAATTGCAGCAATAAGTGCTCCTGTGAGAAACTGCTTCTGCAGCTTGGTGGTTATGTACCCTGGTAGGAAGTGTCAGCAAAGGAGATGAGTTGTGGAGAAGAGTTGCATGGGAGGATGTGTGGCTCTGAAGTGTTTCTGTATCTCATGCAGTATTTTATAAATAAGTGTTTTTCTCACTTTCTCCTCTCTCTTCCAGAAAACAAGATTTTAGTAGATCAGAGTCCTTTGCTCACTGTAGCTCACAAAAACGCAAGTCTAGTCTGCAATTACACATACAATGGAACGGGGAAGGAGTTTCGAGCTTCACTGCACAAAGGAACAGACAGAGCGGTTGAAGTTTGCTTTATTTTATGGAACGCAACCAAAATTAGCAGCAATTCAAATAAAGAATTCAACTGTGAGGGGATTCATGATAAAGACAAAGTCATCTTCAATCTCTGGAATATGAGTGTCAACCAAACTGACATTTACTTCTGCAAAATTGAGGCCATGTATCCACCCCCGTATGTCTACAATGAGAAGAGTAATGGCACGGTCATTCATGTGAAAGGTAAGCTGAGAACTCTCTGTAGGCCAGTATCCTCCCTATACACACTCTCTACATGATGGCTTAATGCAGTTAGTTTCCTTTAAAAAAAAATAAGTTGGGTTGCGTGGTAAAACTACATCACTGCTCCAGATGTCCTGAAGAAGGTGATGATTAATACAAATAATTCATTGGAACAAGGAGTAAATAAGCAAAGATTGAGGGGGTTGCTTTCACGTACCTAAAGTTTTCTTTGTTCTTTTCCCTGAAGAGACACCCATGCAAATACGAGAGCCTCAGTCTGCAATTCCTTTGTGGACTATGGTGGCAGTGACTGGAGTTCTTGCTTTCTACAGTATGCTGATAACCGCAGCTTTTGTTAACTACTGGGTAAGAAACTACTATTTTCCTTTGCTCTATGTGCTCTTTGTCCTAGTTCATTTTTTAGTCTATACTTGCTGTGCTTACCACAAACTCACTGATACCCCTCACCTCAGGATCACAGTGCTTCTTCATCCCCGCTACACCCCAAAAGAGGTGAAACACCAGATGCTGTTCAGGTGGGCAGTCAGGCCTCTGCAGTAGAGGGCTAAAGCAAATAGTACTGCCGCAGTGCTGCGAGTGCCCAGCACACTAGAAATACTGTGACACAGTCTCTAGCTCTGCCAATTGTCTGTGTCAAGGAAATCCGGCACTACAAGCATTCCTGGAAAACCCCTTTGAGCCTAGACTGAGAGAAGGAGCGCACCTACAGTAAAACTATCTTAGTGAATGCTCAGTTAGCCGAAGGCCATCTGCACCGATGCCTTGTGCCTATCCACCAATTCCCTCAAGTACGTGATATTTCTAGCAGCTTGGCTGCAAGCAAATAGGAGCACTGTGATCTCAGTAGTCCCTTGTCTGCCACTGTACATTAATGCTAAAAAAGCTGAGAGTCTTATGGCTCATTATTTTTGCTTTCTAATCTCTCTGGAGAGTTGGCTGGCCAAGGCCACATCCAGTTCTGCCTGGTGGAGTACAGAGAGAGTGAGGTGTGATGGAGAGGCAGCAGGAGGACATCTTCCTAGACAAGTCTTAGGACTGTGATCTCCCAGAGCTGATTTACACTAGTTACTCCATGTGGAAAAGACTTCAACAATGATCATAGACAGCTGTGTTCCTTGCATTCTGCCCTTGTCCTGTATCTTTGTCATTAAATAGCAATTATCAGTACATTAGGAGGTAGCCTGTAAAAAGAGCCCAGAGTCCCTGAGAGGTTCAATGTGTGTATACAGAAAGCCACTCTCACTGCTGGTTGAATATTGAGATCTGTTAAGCATTTCACAAAAATATGCTTGTTCAATATATAATTATTTCTGATGGAAAACATCAAATGGGGCATTGCCATAGGAAGATGCAGAGGCAGGTCCTTCTTTGTGCCCTACTGTGGAGGCTGACTCCTAGGAGAGTTGAGAGGATTACAGCAAACAGCTGATGGCATTATGATGCTGTGCTACAGTGGCTGTGCCTGATGAGACACTGTGGATTCAAATCCATCATTTACAATCTGAACCATTTTCTCTGCTATATTCATTTGGTACCTAATGGCTACACACTTTGCTACTAACATGTCTGCCCCCAGCAAGAGTGGCAAGGCTGCACTGTGATGTGTGCCATTCACTACATCAGGTTTTACCTGCTGTTATCTCTGCTGGAGATATTCTCCTGATAATATGTACTCAGAGCATGGATATATTTAGCGTGTTGCTGAGTATAAATACAGCTGCCTAGAAGACATTGTGAAAAAAAAACTCCTAAAATATGATACTTGACAGCCACAGCAAGCCTGTTTCACCTGAGTTCCTGAAAGCAGCTAAAGATTCCTCCATTTACATAACAGTTCTGCCTTCCCTGGAGGAAAAGGCTGCTTTCCTCTCCAGAAGCATCAGTCTTTGATCCTGTGACAGTCCAGCATTCATTCATGCTAGCAAAATGTCTTTCTCCCAAGCAAAATTGCCTTTTAGGTGAATTAATAATCATATATTATGGAGTTGAACACATGCAAGTAAAGCTTTTGTATCTACTGATATATATACACCACCTGCATTGCATGACTTAAACAGCATGTAACTTACAGTGAACACCTTGCATATATGTATATATGATTAATATAAAAAAGCTTAAAATGTTTCCTAGTAACTGCCCTACTCTATATGTACAGCATAACTCAGCCACCAGATTTTCTAATACAAAGCTCCTCCAATTCTGCAGCATCACAAGCATATTGCAGCATATGCAAATATTTATGTACCTAAGAAGGAAACGTCAGTATAAGGGAGATTTACAAAAGAAGGTATAATCAGTATTGACAAAAAAGCAAGGAAGCACTTTACCTAGCCCCTGATCAATAAAGCCTTCAGCTACACAGAAACACCAACCATATGCACAGCCTGCAGAAGTCAGAGGCTCAACTGCTGCTGTAGCCACAAACTTCCTCTACGATTACAGGCAAATTATTTCACCTGTCTTCTGCTGCTTGCATTTCTGAGACAGATGATGCCTCCCTTGTCTCACAGGGACATTATAAAGCAGGAATTCAACAGTGGAAATGAGATTTTTGAGGCTCAGATAGTGATACAAATAGAAGATTAACATCAGCTTTGATTCTTTTGCACCTCAAAGGAAGGCTTAGAACAATAAAGGCATTGTATGATACTTCTGTAAATGGTAGGCAAACCATGATACACATATCCTAGGCTGATTTTTCCTTCTTCTTTTTGAGTTAAGCTGATATCTTTTTTCCTCCTAATAAAGGAGGACAGCCTTCACTGTTCAGGCTGCATTGCTTCTGCTGAGTCACTTCACAGCTGAGAATTGGTGGTGAGAGGCACCAGCTTGTATCCTTGGAAAACTAACTGTAAATCTCTTGGCAGATAAGCTGGAGACGTACATTCAGGTTGGGCAAACTCCATAGATTATTTTATGAGAATGTGTGTTCCAATCTTTCTGTAAATGCCCTTAAACCTGAGGCTGCCTAATAAGTATGTCTGCTTCCCTGAATCAGGAACTAAGGTCAGAACTGTCCGTAGTTAATATGAGAGTTGGGTGAGACGATTTGTTAATTCAAAGAAGGAAAAATTAATTAAATCCATTACTAACTTCTCTCAGGTCTTCTTAATATTCAACCCCCCTCTGTTCAAAGGACCCCTGTTCCCCTTCTTCATTTCCCTTCTCAAGTGCTCACCCCAGGCGGGACAGACTAATTGCAGAAATGTTTTCACACTTCTCTTCACCCTTTTCCCACAGCAGAAATCTAAAAAGAACCTGTACCATCAGAGTGACTACATGAACATGACTCCCCGGCACCCACCATACCAGAAGAACAAGGGTTACCCGTCCTATGCACCAACACGAGACTACACTGCATATCGGTCCTGGCAGCCGTGATGATACTCATCAGCTGACCTACTAGTGGCCTTGGGTGCTTCTAGGCAGTCACTTGCTCTTGGACATGGAAGGACAGCCTCTCATTTTCTCATCATGTTTGTTGTTATTGATCATGGATAACTACATCACAGCAAGTATTGGCTAAACTTTGATATAATATACTAAAAGAAAACCAAACAAACATAAAACCAAGGGGGAAGTTAAAAGGACTGTTTTCCATGATGGCTGAAAATGGGATACAACTTGTGATGAGGGTTGTCAGTGGGTAAGACAGAAAGATGGAATCAGAACTCAGAGCTGGTCTGCTCCTAACACTTGTGGTTTTGCCTAGCTATTAGGAGACCCAGAACATCTGACCTTTCCCAATAACTGCAGCGTTAGACTTAACTCTTAGTTTCCTTTCCTGTATGTCTAATCCTCAGACACCCTTGTTAAATATGGCAAAATGCAAAAAAAAAAAAAGTATTTTCTTCCCTACAAGACCAGGGCACAGTCTGAACTTCAAAACACATGCTTGAAAGAAATACTGAAAAGTCAGCCAAGGTATTAGGCTGTGGCACAAATGGGCTGCCAGGACAAATCAAGCTGATAGAAAACTACTAAACCTTCAATATGTGACCCCTTAGGTTGGATACTTTGCTATAAGGCCATTTGAAGTCATGGCCAAGCAAATCCACAGAGTGAGAAAGTAATCAACCTAGAGACAAAATAAAGACAATCAGGAGAGGAAGAAAGATCTGTCGTCATCATGAAGAACCCCATTTCTGTTTTGTTTGCCTCCTACAGCGAGGGAACAGAAAGTTGTATGGGAAGCATTAGAAAACACAGAGGTCAGATTTGGAGGAGAGCTTTACCTCCTTTTTTAGTTTTTGTTTCTATCCAGAAGGCATTCTGCCGAGTCCTCCTGAAAACGCGTGCACATCTTCCAGCACCTAGGCCGTACCAGGCGGGAGCTCTTCTGAAAATCTGGGTCCAGACATGAGCAACTAATGATCACTTGAATTTTTTTCCTATAAGCACCCAAGGTTTTGGGTTGTGAGAGGGTACTTCATTCCCACCATTGTGAATCAGGAATGCAAGCGCTCAGCCACCTGCAGGAACTGCTCTAGGCTCTTCAAGGAACTTTTTGTTGACTGGAGGTTACCTTTCTGTCTAAAGACGTTCTTCAGGAATGCTCCATGCTGGATTATGACAAAGTTTTCAGCAAAATCTGCTTCATCCTTTCAATTAAGCATGTTTACATTAATAAGACATCCTAAATTGTAATTGGGATTGTCTTGGCATAACATCCATTTTCACACTGAGGAGTTGAGGTTTATTTTACAGTGACTAATATATATATAATTAAATAAAAAATAAATCAGATTTCCATCTTGAAATAAAATTAGGATTGTGCAACATTCCTCCAAATTGGGTTAAGCAGATTCTTTCCCTCTTTGGAGGGACATTACAAAAGAAGAGATGTGGAAGTGTGGCAATAATCTGCTTGTATCGCCACAAACCATGTTATTGGAGGGTGCTACGCCACTTCTATGCAGCAGTGACTTGCCTGAGCACCCACTGCCGTGAGGCAGCGCTGTGTGTTTGGTATAGGACTGTGGTCTTGGACCCAGCAGGCCCTGAGAGCACTCCTCTGGGTCAGTTCAGCAAACCCAAAAGGTTATGATTATGTTTCTTCTCCTTGCCCCTCACCACATGCACAAACCCTCCAAGACTGACATTTTTTTCACATAAACTTTTTACCCTCTCTTCCTGAAAAGCCCCTTACTGTGCCTTTGTACCACAGCTGAGGCAGCAAGGTGCAGGTGCAGAGGGCAGAGGGGAACGAGCCAGACAGGACCCATGGCAATCCCTGCATGGTCCCATCTTGGCTGATCTTGCACTGACTGGGGGAATGCTAATGCCTTGCCACCTTCCTCCTCACTTGGAGGAGAGATGTGGATGATCCATGTTCCAGCGGCATCCAGCCACTTCTGGTAGAAAGCAGCAGGCTTTGTGCAGTCCTCTGACAGGGTAAGGCACTGTTTCATCAGTCTCCATGCCATCTACCAGTGTTGTCATTGTATAACCCAACGTTAACAACTGCTCTGATTACAATGCACTGTGAAAAATCACATCTTCTAGTGCAAATATAAGGTGAGATGGCAAATGTGTACCAAAAGCATAAAACAGAGCAAATATTCTCTATTTAAACTTCATGTATATATTTTTAGATACAGATGTTTCTATTTCATTATATCTATATTCCCTAGAGTATTATTGTACTTTTTGCAATCTTGTTTTAAAATTATTAAATAGATACAGTAAATTAAAACTGAATAAATGCATTGGGCCTGAGGCTAGTCAGAGAAAAGTATTACTTTCTAAAGCAAATGTTGGTATAATTTGCTTTCCTTCCCCTAACACTTTTGTAATTTCCATATCTAAAGCATTCTGATAGCTCCCAGGACATGATACTGGAAAGTAAGTCCTGGAACATCTGGAATAAGATTAATTCATTTGACTGACCAAAAAGAAAGGGAGATACATCCTAGACATATAATGAAACAAATGTGAAGAATCAGGACAGGAAAAGCCCCAGCACTGTGTAAAAGTGGACATTGCTGTTATATTAAAGAACTGTAGGGACAGAGATTACAGACTGTTGGCGGTGAGATACCAGTAAATACCTTTTATCCACCACTGTAAGGGACTAAATGAAAGTGTTTGCAGAGAAGCAAGCCATTTAAGCCTGGAGTTTGGCTCTGCATATGTGGATTAGCATATATGACAAACAGAGCAATCCTAATTTATTCCATCTGGTTTTAGGCAATGCATAACATGCCAGGACAGCCCTGGCCCTCCCTGGCCCTGCCTTTGGGGACTATATACTGTTTACAGGATGATGTAAAGAGAAACCTCCCTCTGTTGCAACTCTGAACTTGGAAACTGGCCCTTATGGAGGACAGCAAGAGATCAATAGGGTTTTCTGCCTTCCACACAGGTCTTAATTCAAATGCAAATATAGTCTTGCCAAACAGTGATTTGATTTTTCATCCTCCTTCCCTCAAATTCTGGATCTCAGTGTCAAACGAACATCTGATATGCAGTCATCATATCTGAATGGCAATCAACATATGTTGCAAGGGGTCAACCAAGGGTTGTGCTGCTCCAGCCCCCTGCATGCTGATTCCTGTTCTGCATGTATCCCACACAGTACGAAACAACAGCCTGTCTCTTCCATGCTTCCAGAAACCAAGCCCCTAGGAGACAAATGCTGAGGAGTTATCTTTGCAGTATCTTGAGCCTTCACCACTGGGGCTATCAGGGTTACTAATGCCAAAAGTCTTGGATATTCCTTCTAGTTTGAATACCCCAAATTCTAATATCCTTCTCCTGCATGAGAGTTTTTGAAAATGCCTCTTCTTTCTTCTGCAGCTATAAACATGGACCCTGCATGTCTGTCAAGCAATATCACATCTTCCTTCTTTGCATATCATCTCTTTTCCTTTCACCTCTATGGCAGACTCAGCAGTTCAGGAACCCATCCATTTGTTAACCTCTAACACCATTGTGCAGCCTTCCACTGTACCCCTGACTAGTTATTCACTTCACAAAGGCTGTCTTGTATGCCACATTCCTCTTCAGTTTGGGGTAAGGAGTTGCTATAGGAGATTGGAGCCATGTGGTGATTGGATAGGTGCATATTTTCTGTTTGAAGGATTTGGGGGTCTTTCATCCCTTTGATTTGTCCCATAATCTTCAGATTTTCAGTCATGAAAAACAACCACGTGGGAATCCCACACACCACGTGCTTCCCACAGTGCATTTAATTTCTGCACGTTTAATTTCCTATGCATAGCAGGCTTTTGGCTATTGCCATGTTCATTATACCTGCAGACATGCCCTGACAGCAGAAGCAACTTTGGCTACTGATGGTATGTTTGATACTAATAAATAACACAGTACAAAAAGCTTGAACCTTAGGAGCACACAAGCAAAGACTTCAGTGCTAAAGATCAAATCTTTCCGCTTTCGGCAAGGCTTTTGCTGTGTGACTGGAAAATACTTTATTCAAGATGAATCACAGACCAAGGCATAATTTCGTTAGTCACTCACACTAACCAGAAAACAGGTATGGGTAATGAGTACAACATCAGCTTTCTTAAGGTCCAATAAAGAGTAGGAAAGGCTGCAAACAGCACGAGGCAGTAATTTGTAGCTAAAGTCAGTGCCTGTAAGTGGCTCTGAGAATGAAACATTACTAGCTGCTTATCTTGATGCAAATGGATTGTTCTTCACAATTAGGTGCTTTTGTTAGAGCATCACATTACACTATGTTACTATTCCAGCCTCAGGGGCATGCAGATATTCTGATGTGGCCAATTTGGCTGAGAAAGTATCAGGAGGCTGCCAATTTTATACAAACCCATTTGCAAAGAGACAAAAGTTGAATGGTCTCAAATTTATGGTGGGTTTCTCTGGTTTTGCTTTTAAACTGGATCTCCAAGATCAAGGCACTGGTTCTCACTTTGTTTTTTCTCTTTATACTTTTTTTTTTTTCTGTTAAAAAAGAAGAAAAAAGAAAAAGAAAGAAATGCAACTTTATTTTCAGGACCCATAAACCTACCAGGAGCACTTCAGTTTTGGGAAATATCTGTGTCTCATTGATCTAACAGTTGAAACGACAGGGAATTTTCAAATGCCACAGTTTTCCTAGCCATTACATCATTATGAGGCCACATCATTCCTTTTCCTCACTGGCTTTTTATTCCATCAAGAGAAGTATTCTGGGTCATATTGAAATGTTTTCACGGTCTGGAACAACTCTAGTTTTTTAGTCAGGAAAAATTGCTCCCTAACCAGCAAAAACAAAGACACAAACAAGCAATTTGTAACAGTGCAGTTCTGTGGAAATTAACATAGCGGTTTCAGTCTGGTAGGAGGATCAAATGGCCTTTTTACAAAATCCTTTTGCTCTAAAGTAAAGAAGCTTAAGAAATTACGTACTAAAGTACCTTAAAAGAAAAGACATCAGGTTGCAAAATCAAGAAATCAAAGGCAGGAAATGCCAGAAGGAAGCTTTCCCATCCAGCCTCTCTTCTGCCCCCTTGCGTGACCGGAGTGGCTCTTTAACTACAACTGCATTTTTTGCCTGCCTGCAGCGACTTCGTCTCCTAATCTGAGCATACATTGCTCAGAGATGCTGGTCCACTCCCTTGCAGGAAGCTGCAGCAAGGGCTGCAGTAAGAGGCTTCAGGTATTGTTAGGGTAGGTGCTTAGGTGTCAACACTGCAGGTACAGAGTCCGAGTGACATTTCAAGCCTCTCATATGGAAGGCTGTAGCAGGACACAACCATCAATCAGGCTAACTTAGATAACAGCTAAAGTAATGGCCAACAGTCCTGTCAGTGCCCCATTAAATTAGATCACTCTGTTGTGAGTCAGAATGAACTAATTTTCCTCCTATGCTTGCTGCCTGTGACAGCCTTTAGGCTACTTTAATCTTCAAACACCAGTGGTGGAGGTGAGAGCTGTTTGTTTGGGGTTTTTTAATCTCATGATAATGATGAAGTAGGCTGCTTGCATTTCTTCCTGGGCTTCTCAGCCTTCCCCAGCCAAATCAAAACTGGCTGGAGAAAGGAATGGTTTCTGTTTGCATAGCCCATTAGCTCCTGAGGCATAGGTATAGAAGCTGAAGTCCAGGGCAGGAAGTCTCCTTTGGGAACATTATCCCGTGTAGTTTTTTCTCTCATTAGCAGAATACTGAAGTAATGTCAATGCTTTATTTTGACAGTAACCAAAAAGCATGAGACTATGAAGATACAGAATTGGACAGCAAGGGAACAACCTCTCTGTGCTGCAGACAAAAGCTGACACTAGTCAAGTCCAGCCCTGTGATGGAGCAATCCAGCACTAAGGATGGGAGAAGCAAAAGGGGTTAAAGGAGAAACCACTCTGAAACCACTTCAGTGAAACTCTGAAACAGTCCCTCAGGGAATGGAAATGAACAAACCAGCTGTAGGGTGCATGACACAAGGCAGACTTCTGCCTCTCCCTGGCCATATGCTACAAATAACAGTATTAAAAACACCCTAGTCCTTGCCTCCAGAAGTACCTTTTACCCATAGGCTGCTATGCATCAGGGAGGGACTAGCTGCACTGATGATGGAAGCAAAGTTAGGTCCTGTGCGTGGACTTGGGTGCACTGCTGAGTCCCAGGAATCTCTTGAGATAAAAGCTGTAAATCATATTAAAAGGAAAATGGCCAAGGAAACTGCAGCAGGGTGGAGAGGCAGGATGGATGAATGGCTGACTGCAGGAAAAGTGGAGCTAAGCCACTCCAGGCTCATCTCCAGCAGCTGAAGAAATGCATTAGTTTGGACAGCAGCTGCAGTGAATTTCCTCCAATAAAAGCAGC